ATTAAAAATCTTCCCACAAAGAAACACTGAATTCTACCAATCTTTCAAGGGCTAGAGCATCTCAATTTTATAGAATTTTTTCCCTGGCAGTAGAAAACTAGGGACTATTTAACAATTTATTCTAGTAGACTTGTTGCCCTGATATCCAGACTAGACAAAAACATGACAGTGGAAAATTACAGACCCGTTTTACTCCCTCATATACACTTTACAACCTAAACAAAATAGCAAATCAATACCAGCAGTGTACAAAAAAAGAATAATACTCCCAAACCAAGTGCAGTTTATCTCAGATATGTAAGGATTTATTTTGTCTTTAATTTTTTAAAATTTTAATTTAATTTGATTTTTTTAAACGTTTATTATTTCCAAGAGAGAGGGGGAGAGAGAGGAAGCAAGGGAGGGGCAGGAGGAGAGACGCAGTGTGGGTACAGAGGATCCCAAGCAGGCTCTGCGCTGACAGCAGAGCCCGATGTGGGACTTGAACTCACAAACCGTGAGATCATGACCTGAGCCAAAGTCAGACATTCAACCGACTGAGCCACCCAGGTGCCCCTTTAATGTTTATTTTAGAGTGAGAGACTGAATGCAGGCAGGGGAGGGTCAGAGAGAGAGGGAGACACAGAATCTGAAGCAGGCTCCAGGCTCTGAGCTGTCAGAGCATAGCCCGATGTGGGGCTCGAACTCATAAAACATGAGATCATGACCTGAGCTGAAGTCAGGCAGTAAACCGACTGAGACACCCAGGTACCCTGTAAGAATTTAATATTAGAGAGTCTATAAATGAAATTCAAGAGTCACCACATTAATAGATTTAAAAAAATTAACGATCATTTCAATAGATACAGAAAGAATATTTTATAAATCACTTTTCCATGATATGAGGAAGGAAAGGAACTCTTCTAAACTGATAAAGAGTAGCTGTTAAAAAACAATGAACATGATATAGGGAAACATTAGAAGCACTTCCTTTAAAATCAGAGACAAAGATGTCCATTATCATTAATCTGTATTTAACATTGTATTAACAGTCCTAAGCAGTAAATTAAGACAAGAAATTAGGAGCACAACAATTAGAAAGGAGGAAATAAGATTTTATTATCTGTAGATATAACCATTTACATAGAAAACAGAAGCATCTACAAATTCTTTGAAATAATTATGTAAAGAAAAGAATTACGTAAACTTAGTATGTAAATTTAATCCGAGTGACTGGATAAAAGATTAATGAAAGTCATTTGTATTTCTCTATGTATGCAAAAACTACTAAAAATTATAATGAAAGAGAAGGCATCATGGTAGTATTAGAATATCTGCTTTAGAAATTATTCTAGGGGAGGCTGGGTGGCTCAGTCGGTTAAGCGTCCGACTTCGGCTCAGGTCATGATCTCACAGTTAGTGGGTTTGAGCCACGTGTTGGGCTCTGTGCTGACAGTCAGCTCAGAGCCTGGAGCCTGCTTCAGATTCTGTGTCTCCCTCTCTTTCTGACCCACCCCTTGCTCACACTGTCTGTCTCTCTCAGAAATAAATAAAACATTAAAAAGAATTTAAAAAAAACGAAATTATTCTAACATGTATTAAAGGGAAAATTATAAAATCTTACTAAAAGAAATGAAAATAACTAATAAATAGAGAAATATGTGATGTTAATGATTAGAGAACAATCTGATCTGTACATTAAAGGTAATTTCATTCAGAACCCCAACAGGTATTTTCATGAAACTTGATAAGATGATACTAATCACACGTACATGATTCCATGTGAATACGGAAGAGTTATGGGGTCAGGGGTGCAAACTGGTGCAACCACTGTGGTATAGAGAATGGAGGTTCCTGAAAAAGTTAAAAATAGAATTACCCTATGATCCAGTAATTGCACTACTGGGTTATTTACCCCCAAAATAAAAAAAAAAATTAATTCAATTCAAAAGGATACATGCTCCCCTATGTTTATTGCAGCATTATCTACAATTGCCAAATTATGGAAGCAGCCCAGGTGTCCACTGACAGAGGAGTGGATAAAGCAGATTGGTATATATACACACAATATATTGGAATATTATTCAGTTATAAAGAAGGGAAATCTTGCCCTTTGCAACAACATGGATGGAGCTAGAGAGTATAATGCTAAGCGAAATAAGTCAGAGAGAGTCAAATACCATATGATTTCACTAAAGTGGAATTTAAGAAACAAAACAAGCATAGGGAGAAAGACAAACTAAGGAACAGACCCTTGTAGAGAAACTATAAAACTGATGGTTACCAGAGGGGAGGTGGGTGGGGGATGGATGAAATAGGTGAAGGAGATTAAGAGTACACTTATCATAATGAGCACTGAGTAATGTATAGAGTTGTTGAATCACTGTATTGTAAACCCGAAACTAATACAACACTGTAAAGTATACTAGAATTAACATTGAAAAGTTAAAAAAAGGTAGAAGGCCAAGAATATCTGGTCACTTCTAAAAAAGAACGGGGAGGGGGTAGGGTGGGGAAAAAAATAAAAAATGGAGAAAACTTGATTAACTGGATAGTCAGACTCAGGATAGAAGTTAATACAGTTTTAAATAAGCATTAGAAAGACTGATCAGTGGGAATGTGAAGGGTGGTAAGATTGATAAATGGAATAGAATAGAGAATACGTAAACATCTATGCATGTAACGAAATTCTGTATATTGAGGTCTAATAGGCAAAAAATTACTGTGGGGACTTCAGAACTTGTGAGTTGAAATCTTGACTCTAGCAGTTCACTAAATTATGTTATCTTGGGCAGAGAACATCTCTGTGCTTCTCTTGCCTTATATGTAAAACAAAGGCAATAATATTACATATGTCATAGGCTTATTTAAGTATTAGGTGGGTTAATATATGTGTCTGCTAAGAGAAAGCTCTGTGAGTCTTTGCTGTTTGTTTTGATTATCTAAACAACTTAGTTAAAACAGCCGTTTCATTTATTATGATTCTGTGGGCTGAGTTGAGTGGTTCTTCACTTGTCTGCAGCTGTAGTCAGGTGACAGCTGGTGCTGGAATGTCTCATGATATGTGGTGCTTTGGAGGGAATGGCTGGAAGCCTGGGCTCAATTGGACAACTGATCTACTACACTTGGCCCTTTCATGTGGTCTCCAGTAGAGGAGTCAGATTTTAGGCGCTTCCAGAGGCACAAGGAATGAAGCTGCCATGCTTGGAGTTGGCACGTTATCACTTCTCCTGTATTCTTTTGATTAACTTCACAGAGCCACTTGGGAGATCATTTTTGGAAACCATCCACACTGTTGTTAAGATTTTATTTTTAAGTATGTTTAGACCCAACATGAGGCTCAAACTTAAAACCCCAAGATCAAAAGTTGGGTGCTCCACTGACTGAGCCAGCCAGCCCCCACGCCCCCCATCCACACTGTTACTGATATTTGTATCCATCATGGTGCTCTACAGTGTATATAATTGTCAGTTTAGGCACCAGTGATTTATTAATGAACAAGTAAATACAAAACCTTGCTCCTTATATGTTTTACATGATAAGCACTTAAAAATGTTTAATGACAAGGGCAGTAAAGAAAAATAAGGCAGGGAAGGAGATAGGGAATACTGGGGGTTGGGAGTTGCAGTTTTAAAAACGGAAGGCTTCCCTGGTAAACTGACGTGAGCACGAAAGAAGGAGATTGGGAGCTAGTGGGGCAAAGGTGGAAGCAAGAAAACAGGAGTGTAGTGCAGTGGAGAGGTGGGTCATTTGGATTAGTGCAGTAATAATGGAAGTGGTGAGAAATGGTTAGATTTTGGGTATATTTTGAAGATACACCTTTAGAATTTATTTATGAACTGGGTGTGGAGTGTGAAAGAAAAAGGAATCAAGGAAGGCCTCAAGGTCATTGGTCTGAGCAACTAGAAGCAGAGTTGCCATTTGCTGTAGAAGCATAGAGTTGCCATTTGCTGAGATGGAGAAGGCTAGTGGGTTTGGGGAAGACCAAGATTGGTGTTTTATGCATAAGGTTTGAAATGTTAATTAAAAGCTGGCTGCTTTAAAATGGTAAATTATGCTTCTATCCTATCTGACTTCCCATTCTGTAGCAAGGGAAGCAGATGGGGGAGGGAGGAATTTATATTTTATTACAGTTAGTAAGTGTCTCAGAAGATTGAGGAATCTTGTTGGTTTTAGCCAGACTATTTGTCCATTTTTCCAGGCCCCCCTGATGTGGCTTGTTACTCATAAATGTCACTGATTGTTTATTACCTTTTTACTAAAAAAAGACCTGAAAATAAACAAGTTTATTTTCCCTCTTACTGCTTTTTTTCTTTGTTTAAAGAGAGATGGTAGGAAGTGACAATTTTAACTAAACCTTACTCTATATTTCTTCAATTCATGCTACATTTTCCTCGATGATATATGTCCCATCTTGGCTTAGTTGCTGTGCTCCTTGGGTTTGGCGCGTGTTAAAAGCCACTTTAACTGATACTGAGTATTTTGACTCTCACTCTCTCCAGTGTTTCTTGCCAAGACATGTTTCAACATGTTACAAAGGTTTTTCTTGATGTGCTCTTGGAGTCTTAAATCTATTACTTAATCTTGGTAATTCCCCCAGCTCTACAACTGTTGTCTTCCAGGGGGTGCTCTTGAGCACTGTCCAAAGAGAGGAGGAGTTACTGAAACTCTGATATTCATTGGGGAGATGATGATTGTAAATTTGACTTTCAGCTAAAACAGTTACTCATTATCATCACTGTGGGGGTTGGAGCATGCCCAAACCTGTTTGTTTCAGGCTTCACCTAAGGGAAGCATAGATGGTCCTTACTCTTAATTAAGCTCTTCAGTTGTTTGCAGTATCTGAATTTAGAAAGTGATCAGGAGGGTATCAAGAACCTCATTATGGATATATTGCATTTGTGTAGGACGTTCTGATACATGTGTCTTTTTTCCTTCTGCTGGCTGCTATTTTGTAAATCTTAAAAGAGAAATTTTTCTACTTTAGAAGAGATTTCTTAATGTTTTTTTTTTCCTTTTAGATTTATCAACAGACTGCAATTTCTTCACTGCCAAAATGACATCATTTTCCACCTCTGCCCAGTGTTCAACTTCTGACAGTGCTTGCAGGATCTCTGCTGAACAGACCAATCAGGTAAATCATATTTAGCCATTTCTAGTTTTCTTTAAACTTTTAAAACATTGAGTTGGGGCATGTAGGTGACTTTACTGACTGAAGGATTTTATGTAGAGCAGAAAGGGTTATTTTTTTAAATGTCATATTAGGGAATCTAGTGAATGGTATCTGTGTTCAAAATTTGAATTGATTATTGATTAAATAAACATATAGAGGTTACAGATTGTTCAAAATATGGTACCTTTTGAAAACTATCGTGTTTTAGGGTACAGGTGGCTAATGGAGAATTTGGGGCCAAGCTCTATGTTTGTTTTCTGTTTCTCTCACTTCATTTTAACTGGCTTGTTTTCTTTAAAAATCAGTTTTAAATTGTAAATATTGCAAATGTATTCTTACAAAATATTCAGTTTTATAATGTACTTATCTATAAAGTATGCATCTGTAGGGACTCCTTGACTGTCTCTTCCCTTCTTCCCCCAAAGTCCCTTCCCTCTAAGATAACACTGTTGGTTTGTCTTGTTTCAGATCTTTTCCTCTAACATACAAAAATACATAATTTTGTTCCGTATTTTCATAAACATTGCACGATATATAGTATTATGTACCTCAGCGTATGATAAAGGTAGAATTTGGCTTTGATGGGGGAAGATGTGGTTTATTTAATAAATGGTTTTGGTGTAATTGTCTGTCTCTGGAAGGAAACAAATGACAACCTCAAACTTTGTACAAAAACAAATTCCAGATGGATAAAGGTTTAAATGTAAAAAGTGAGATAATATTAGAAGAAAATTTAGGAAATGCTTGTGAAATTTTAGGATGACAGAGGCCTTCAATAAAATAAAACCAGAGAGGTTTTGAGAGAAAGAGAGAGACAAATTTGACCATAAAAGTTCGAAGATAAAATTGTGTAGCTAAAGACAGACTCCACAGTCAGTAAAGAGATGTCAAAGTCACTATCCCTTATATGTATAGACCACATCTTGTTTATGTGTTCACCTGTCAGTGTTGGGTTATTGTGAATAATGCTGTGAACACTGGTGTGCAAATACTTGTTTAAGTCCTGCTTTCAGTTCTTGGTGCATATCTAGGAGTGGAACTGGTGGGCCATATGGTAATTTGGTGTTTAATTTTTTGAGGAACTGCCAGACTGTTTTCCACAGCAGCTGAACCACTTTATGTTCCCACCAGCAGCGCACAGTGGTTCTAGTTTTTCGACATCCTTGACAATACTTATTTTTTCCCTTCTTTCTTTTTATTATGGCCATCCTAGCAGGTGTGAATGTCCTGTCTTAAAAATGTGATTTTTCAGGAAGGTAACAAGAAGCAGTCTGATTATCTGCAGTTATTTTATGTATTGGAAGGTTGTATGTTATTAGATGTTAAGTATCTACCAGGGTTTGTAAAAAAGAAAATATTTAAGGAGGTTCTCTTGTTCCCTAGGGTTTCAGAAACCGATCTAATTGAAATGTAAATAGCAGGTTTATTTTATTTCTATCAGGTACGACCCAAACTGCCACTTTTGAAGATTTTGCAGGCAGCTGGTGCACAAGGTGAAATGTTCACTGTTAAAGAGGTAAGCCATCAAAGAAACTTCTCAGTTGTAAGAACAGCTGAAAAGTAGAAGCTGATGAATATATAGTTCTGAAATCAGGCCTAAGAAAGTAAATTCTACTCCTGGGGTACTAGAGAGGCAACTTTTTCTTTATTTTAAAGATCATCGAGCTAAATCGAATTTCATATTTCTTTTAAATTTCCTTTTGAAGTATGTTGTCAGCCAAACCTAAAATTAACCTGAATTCATTGATATCAGAGTTAAAATGCAAAGCGTGTACAGGATTAAAAAAATGATACTGTCTATGATTTATAGGATACAGCACCTGGCAGGAATTAAATGCAGTAGTTTTTCATTATAAATGTGTCAGATACTCTTTTGAGCACTGTGAGTTACTTTAAGCACTTATGCATTTAAATAACTTATTTAGCATCTAAAGGTTTTTTTTTTTAACAAAAACAAATTGAATTCCTTAAGTGGAAAAAACTCAAAATGTTAATGTCTTTTTTTTTTTTTAAATATTTTTATTTATTTCTAGGAGAGAGAGAGAGAGCGAGCGTGAGCAGGGGAGGGTCAGAGAGAGAGGGAGACACAGACTCTGAAATAGGCTCCAGGCTGTGAGCTGGCAGTCAGCTCAGAGCCCGACGCGGGGCTCCAACCCACGAACCGTGAGATCATGACCTAAGCGAAAGTCGGACGCTTAACCGACTAAGCCACCCAGGCGCCCCAAAATGTTAATGTCTTTGAACTGCTTACTTTTTAGAGTAAAATCTAACGTTTTCTAATAGAAGGAAACAAAATTATCAAGCTTTTTTTAACTTTTCTGAAAAGTTTAAGCCTTATTAGCAGCACAGCATTTCTGAGCTGTTATAGCTTTCTATCTTTTTTTTTTTATTGTTTATTTCTTTTTGAGAGAGGAGGAGTGAGAGAGGGAGAGAGACAGACAAACAAGAGTGTGGGTGAGGGAGGGTCAGAGAGAGAGAGGGAGACACAGAATTTGAAGCAGGCTCCAGGCCCTGAGCTGTCAGCACAGAGCCTGATGCCATGGGGCTTGAACTCATGAGCTCTGAGATCATGATCAGAGCCGGAGTTGGATGCCCAACCGACTGAGCCACCCAGATGCCCCTCCTGAGCTGTTAGATCTTTCAGGGAAACAAATTGGAAGCATTTTTTTTCTAGAATACTCCTATTTCCTTTATCATTTTAAATTTAAGTGCATCATCTTAGATTATATGTCTAGAATTCTAAGTAAGACTTTTTTCCCAAGCTATTACTAAAGTATGGATTTTTGTATCAATAAAGTTATAATGAATTATGCTGTCTCCTTTAATAACATGGCAGAGTTTGCCTGGGTTAAGAAGAAATTAAGTACATAATGTTCAGAGAATGTTTTCCTGAGGAAAAAGATGGACAGGGTCAGATTACATGAAGCTCTCTATTATGAACCTTGACCCTATCTGGTGCATAAAAAATTTCCTAATTTTCTATCTTATTATTTTATTATTATATTTTGAGAGAGAAAGAGAGCATGAGTGGGAAGAGAGGGGCAGAAGGAGAGAGAGAATCTTAATCAGGCTCCATGCTCAGGGTGGAGCCCCACATAGGGCTCAGTCCTACTACTTTGGGATCATAACCTGAGCCAAAATTAAGAATCGGACACTCAACCGACTGAGCCATGCAGGTGCCCCCACAATTGTTTAGTTTTTATTATTATTATTATTTAAAGTTTATTTATTTATTTTGGGGGGGGGAGGAGGAGCGGAGAGAGAGGGAGAGAGAGAGAATCCTAAGCCGACTCCTCACTGTCAGTGAGAGCTCAGTGTGGGGCTTGAATTCATGAACTATGAGAACCTGAGCCGAAGTCAGATGCTTAATCAACTGAGCCACCAGGTGCCCCTAATTTTTTATTTTTAAATATTGGTTCTCAGTATGTATGCGTTGAGGCAGTATGGTATAGTCAGAGTAGTAATCATATACACATTATTTTTTAATTTTTATTTTATTTAAAAAAAATGTTTATTTTGAGAGAGAGATCATGAGTGAGGGGGAGGGGCAGAGAGACAGTCCCTAGTAGGCTCTGCACTGATGGCATGGAGCCTCATACAGGGCTTGAACTCACAAATCATGAGATCGTGACCTGAGCCAAAATCAAGAGTCAGATGCATAACTGACTGAGCCACCCAGGTGCGCCCCAGAAATTTACTTGTTAAAAAAAAAAAAATCCAAATGCTGTCATGGTCCAGAAAAAGGTAACAGGTTTATTTATAATTATTATAAAGTTGAACTGCTGACACATGTTCACCAAAACATTTAGACTTGCATTAATGCTTTAGGCCCGCACATTTATATTAAAAATTCACACACACAAATGAAAATAGAAAAGCTGCTAGTACCTGATTTCTGTCTCCTACTTTTATACTTGTAATCATATACTTGTAGGTACCTTTTGACCCCATGGAAAAAAAAATTTTTTTAAAGAATGAAATATTTTCAGTCATAGTAGATTTCAAAATTTGTTTAATGTTTATTATTTTTGAGAGAGTGAGCAAGCACAAGTTGGGGAGGGGCAGAGAGAGATGGAGACCCAAAATCTGAAGGAGGCTCCAAGCTCTGAGCTGTCAGCACAGAGCCCGACGTGAGGCTCGAACCCAAAAACTGTGGGATCGTTTCCTGAGCTGAAGTCGGTCGCTCAACCTGACAGCCACCCAGGCGCCCCCATCAAAGTGGGTTCTTAAGCACATTCTCCATTTGTGCGGTGTGCTAGCTGGATGTCTTTTGGCATAATTGTTACAAGTTTGGCATGGATAGCACACAGTTTGGTGTCTGTATAAATGCCCACCGAGAGGCCGCCTTGCCTCCTGCAGGCCGCCTGTGGCTGCGCTCTAGAAGCACAGATTTGTTTTGAAGTCCTGAGCAATTTCATGCACCAGGTGCCGGAAAGGAAGTTTGCGAATCACAAGTTCTGTGGAGTTTCACGGAGTGCCACAGTACAAGGGCTGTAATGTGAGGTATCTTCCCCCTCCCGCAGTGGGCGCACTCTTGCTCTAGGGCCTTTTATAGTCAGTGGCTTCCTCATTGCTATCCCACCAATCGATTTGGGAGCAGTCTGCTTTGTACAAGCTGTAGTATAGAGAATTTCTTACTTACCCCCTGCTCCTTCAGCTGGAGCTCCGGAGTTTGGGGTGGCGGTGCTGGTACGGCAGGGGCTGCAAACGTTTAATTATGTACTCATCTGGCGTCGTGTTGTAGAAGGTCTTATTTTGCATACTTAGTGGATTTATTTTTTTGCAAGTTGAACAGACATAAATGTAAAACTTTCTCCTTTTTCTTCCAGTAGGTGCTCTTCCCCGTTTTATTTTCCCCTAGATATATGATTAGGTACGACAGCACCATAAACACTGGGACGGAATGCTGCTTGGGGTGGAGGAGAACCTAAGAGCATTTTTGTACCAATAATGGGAACAGTGTTGGAAAAATCTTCTGTGTCGATACCTAATAATTCCTGAGAAGTTGCAGCCTAAAGATAAAAGTAGCTGCTTTGGTCTGTGACAACAAAATTCTTATTGTCATTAAGTGAATTTAATTATTATTATTTTTAAATGTTTTATTCATTTCTAGGAGAGGGAGAGAGAGATAGCGTGAGCAGGCGAGGGTCAGAGAGAGGGAGTCACAGACTGAAACAGGCTCCAGGCTCTGAGCTGGCAGTCAGCACAGAGCCCGACGCGGGGCTTGAACCCACGAACCGTGAGATCATGACCTACGCGAAAGTAGGACGCTTAACTGACTAAGCCACCCAGGCGCCCCTAAGTGAATTTAATTATTAAGCAGTTAAAAAAAAACTTACCTAGAGGAAACGTTATGAAAAAAGTAGATAATATAATAGTTTTGAATCATGAACTTGTCTGAGTTCCTTCCATTTTTGTGAACTCTGAAAAAAGTCAGATAGACTATACTTTAATTTGATGAACACTAGGTCCTGTGTTTTATGCACTTACGGCTTATTAACTCTTGCACTTCATTTGCCAAACAAAATTAAGCCAACACGCATCACAAACCTCTTGTAGTTATTGATCCCTGGACTTAGAGAATATTTTTATGACCCAGGCACACTTAATGTTTATTACTTCTTTTTTTTTTTTTTTAAATGTTTTATTTATTTCTAGGAGAGAGAGAGAGAGAGAGAGACAGTGTGAGCAGGGGAGGGTCAGAGAGAGAGGGAGACACAGACTCTGAAACAGGCTCCAGGCTCTGAGCTGGCAGTCAGCACAGAGCCCGACACGGGGCTCGAACCCACGAACCGCGAGATCATGACCTAAGCGAAAGTTGGACGCTTAACCAACTAAGCCACCCAGGTGCCCCAATGTTTATTACTTCTAATAATAAAACAGACCTCTTTATCTGGACTGGTGAAAAAATTTTTAAGGGAATGTGGTGCCAGGGTGACTTAGTCGGTTGTTTGGATGTCCAGCTCTTGGTTTTGGTTCAGGTCATGATCTCAAGTTCAAGTTCATGAGTTTGGGCTCCCCATCGGGCTCCAAACTGCTGATGTGGAGCCTGCTTAGGATTCTCATTCTCTCTCTCTCTCTCTGCCTCCTCTCCCCAGCTCACACACACTCTCTAAAAAATTAAAAAATAAAAAAACATTTTTAAGGGAATACTAGGAAAATTCACTTTTTCTCATTATCAGGCCACTACATTTCTAAAAAGTAAGAGTCTGGGAGTGTTCGGGTGGCTCAGTTAAGTGTCTGACTCTGGATTTCAGCTCAGGTCATGATCTCACAGTTTGGTTCATGAGATCGAGCCCCGTGTTGGGGTCCTGTGGAACTGACAGTGTGGAGCCTGCTTGGATTCTCTCTTCCCCCCTCCCCCCCCACTCGTGCACACACACAGAATGTTCTGTCTCTCTCTCAAAAATAAATGAGCTTAAAAAAGATTAAAAAAGTAAGAGTCTGTTAACGTTCAGCATGATAAGAAGTGGATGAGCCTAGTAGTTGAGGACAGCGATCTTGTTGTGGGACTCCTTCCTGAAGCACGGAGAGTCACGTTCATAAATGCTTTCTCTTTCTCTAGCAAACTAACTTACCTGATCTTCTCATAATTAATTTGTGCTTTTTGGAGCAGCTGCACAGACCTCTTCATGCTTCTCTATCACCGTGCAGGTCATGCACTATCTGGGCCAGTATATAATGGTGAAGCAGCTCTATGACCAGCAGGAGCAGCATATGGTGTATTGTGGTGGAGATCTTCTGGGGGAACTGCTAGGACGTCAGAGCTTCTCCGTGAAAGATCCAAGGTAAGAAGAGTGAGGGTGTGTTTATGTTTTTGGGTGCTTACATCTAACCACTGAATCTCCATAGGTTATTAATGGTTACCTTTTTTTTTCCCCCCCAGTCAGCCAGTATTTAAGGGCCTCTGTATGTCAGGTAGCCTGTGAAGCACTGGGAACATGTTAGTGAGCAATGCAGTCTCAGACTCTGTGGAGCTCGGAGGGTAGTGAGACAGTAGGTGCTCTTCCCCATCTTACTCAGACTGTCAGGCCAGCACACGCTAAACTTAGACTGTGGGTGAGTGGTACAGAAAAGAAATGCATGAAGCTGTGTCAAGGGTGGGACCTGGAGGTCTTAGGAGTCGAGGAAAGAAGTCTTGAAGAAGTAGTTTGAACTGAGACCTGAAAGACAACTAAGGAGTGAGGGGCCCTGAAGAAGGTTGAAGGAGAGCTTCTGACAGGTTGAACGTCATGTGCAAAGGCCTGGGTAGGAGGAGCTACGCGGCTAGGTTAGGATTTTGTGAAGCAGGTGTAGAGAGAGGAGGAGGAGTGAGCTGGTGAGAGAAACGCGCTATTGCTGGGCAGCTCGGGTTGACGATGGGCTTCAGAAGAATCACAGTAGAGGTCCTCTGACCTATCGTGTGACTTTCTCCAGATGCATGGGGTGTAAATGGTTGTTACAGAGTCAAAAGCTAATTAGTAATTGGGAAGCCAGTGTTTTCTTTGGATAGCTTTGTGATGATGGTATCTTTTTAGCTCATTTTGTCTTACTTTGGTAAGACTCCCTTCTGGTCCTTCCCCAATTAAAATTATAAAATTTAATTCCTAGAAGGAAGGAATGGTCTGTGAAGGAAATCTTGTGTTAACTGTTAGCTAATTAAATAAAATGTAAATTAATTAGTTTTTTAATGGGGGCAAAGTAACAAAAGCTCTTGGGCATTAACATTCTTGACATTTAAATGATTACAAACAAATCTGTTCTGGGGGGAAAAATTTGCCTTTTTGTGTGTTACAGAGAAAGTTAGATCATATGTCAGATAGACACATGACATTTTAATTGGAAAACTGTGGGGTTATTAATTTTTTTTTGTTGTTTCTCTGACAGTCCTCTCTATGATATGCTAAGAAAGAATCTTGTCACTTTAGCGACTGCCACTACAGGTATGTCACATCATATTTCCTCAGTGTGTGTCAGCTTTGAGTTCAAGGGGGCAAATGGTGGGAAAACAAGGATCAAGGTGGAAATGAAATGCTGGGTTAGCATGACTGGGAGGGTACCTATCACACAGAATGTTCTTAGTATGTTCATTGTTCATTGTGAAAAATTTCAAATATACTGAAAAATTTGCCACATTTCCTTCACCAGGACATACTTTTTTTTTCTTAAAATAATTTCTTTTTCATCTGGACATACTTTTAAAGTCTTTAAAAGATAAGGACCTTTTTCCTTTAAACATAACTACAATGCCATTCTTACACCCAACAAATTTAATAATAATAAAATAAACAATAACTCCAGAATACTGTCCAGTAGCCAGTGTATATATAGTTACCTCCAGTTACCTCAGAAATATTTTATATTTGGCTTGTTCAGATCAAAATCCAGAGAAAGTCCACACATTGCCATTGGTTAAAATACCTCTAAGTATTTTTATAAAACAATCCTTTTTTAATTTTTATGTCATTTATTTGTTGAAGAAATGGATTATTTGTCCTATAAAATTTCCCACATTCTAGAGGGTTCTGGATTGTATCCTTGTGATGCTGTTAAAAGTGTTTCTCTATGTCTTCTATTTTCAATAAACTAGTAATGCTTGAATAGTTTCAAGTTTAAACTTTTGCCGAGAAGGTTTCACAGGTGGTGCTTTGTATATATGCATCGTATCCGTGTTCAGGTTCCTTGGGCTCACGTGGTGTTACCCTGATCCATGTGTTATAAAGGTCCCCCAAGAACCTTTCATCTAATGGTTTTAGCTTTCTGCTATATGAATGCTGATTTGCCTAACCCTTTGCTTGATTCCGTATCTTTTAAATACTGCCCTTTGACTTGAACTTATTAGGTATGTGCAGGAAATGGGCTGCTTTGGGGTCTGACATAAGGCGTGTTAGAGATAAGTGAATCAGCTGTACATAACTGAGGAGTAACCCGATTTCTTACTCATTGCCGAATAATGACACTTTTTTCCCTCCATTCCTATGTGAAGTCCCTTCGTGAGCTTCAAATTAGATTTTAGGTAACATTGACCTTTGAAGAAAGCCCAAGTTTGTAATTCTTTTATTTATTTATTTAAAATTTTAAAAAAATGTTTGTTCATTTTTGAGACAGAGACAGAGTGTGAGTGGGGGAAGGGCAGAGAGAGAGGGAGACACAGAATGTGAAACAGGCTTCAGACTCTGAGCTGTCAGTACAGAGCCTGATGTGGGGCTTGACCTAATGGACTGAGATCATGACCTGAGCCGAAGTTGGATGCTTAACCAACTGAGCCACCCAGGCGCCCCAGTAATTCTTTTAGATAGGTTATCTTTCAGTAGTTCACTGAAATAAATACTGTAGTTGAAAAGAATCTGTTCTAATAAAGATTTATGATTTAAAGTGAGAGTATAGAGACTTTGCTTTCATACTGAAATGTGATTTTTGAACTTACATTGAAGTTTGGAGCCTGTTGACTTTCATTGAGCAGTTTGCCCACTTTGCCCACTTCACCCAGCTGTAAATTTCTATTGTGAGGAAAGGCCTTGCAAATAATATAGTGCTTTATTGAAATTCAGTCACTTGTGAAATAGTAGGGCTTTCCTGGGATATTCACTGCAGACTTGAAATACACAGAGGATTTTATATTTGCTGATCTTCTCTTTCAGTGGAATTTGTTTTCTGATTGATCTGTTCTCTGAATATCTAGAATGGGTGTGATTCTCCCTTTTTCTCTCTTTCTTGCACTTTGTCGGCAGCATTTAACATGCTGTGTATTAAAATGAACATTTCTGTAACAGACATTTCAATTGATCTTCACAACAACCCTTTGAGGAAGGTCTGGAGATGAAGAAACTGAGGGTTTTTTTGTTTCGTCTTTGTTTTTTTTAATAGAATGAGTGATTTGTCCAAGATTAGTTGTCACTGACAGTTGGTAGGACAGATATTTCTGATGGGCCAGTTCTTGTTCTTTTCATTGTGCCACATTGGTGTCATCATAGGATTTGCCCCAGTTAATTTTTCTTAACGCATTTTTCTCTCTGAACATTAAATCTTTAAGACATTTTGTTTGTTCTTAAACATGTCAACATTGAAATTATTTCAGTTACAAAAAAGTAGTAAAAGTATTATAAAGAGTTTCAGATATTCTTTACCCAGGTTCTCCAGATGATAACATCTTGAATAACCATAGTATAATGTTCAAAACCAGAAAATTGCCCCAAAGTAATTTTGATTGAGTGTCAGCTCTGACTTGCACATGTGTTCATGCTTGTGCCTGGTCATCTCTGTTGATCTTCTGTATATTGGGTTACATGTGTTACATTTAAAAGGAAAAATGAGAAAAGTGTTTTCCATGAACCCCTTTGCAAGCGAAGTTGATGGCTGCAAAAGTGCCATTAAAGTAAAGGTGGTTCTTTATGAATCATTTCTCCAAATCTCCACATGTATGCCAGTAAAATGAAATATGACAAACTTTGTGCTTATTTTAAAATTCCTTTGTACTTTGTAGTTTTCCCAGATAATTTCTTTTTGCTTCTAGTTGTGTTAGCCTAAGTAAGGTAGTAAGGTTTTAGAACTACAAATGACAGTAATCAGATTGCTTTATTAAGGAAATGCTTCAACTGCATTGTCTGTTAGTTGATCTTTGAAAACCGCTGTGGTCAGCAAGTGCTGTCTCAAACTTCTCAATATCCCCATTTACCTATAAAAATGTTTGTAGAAATAATGCTCTTTATAATTACAATTTTGAAATTGTTTGCTTTGTGCAAAACAATTGAACTATCAGGCCATGGCAGGATCTGTATTCTTTTCTTTTCTCTGGCAGTCTGTATTATGTGAGGACGAGGTTTTCCTTAAGTGTCTTATTTCTGGACCTGATAGTATCTAAAGACCCCACCCCTTGGTAGACTTCTTTGGAAACACTTTAGTTACATGTATAACCTTACATAATGAGCGTTCTAGGTTATTCGGTTCTCTACAGCTTGTTGTTTTCCTGTAGCTATGTTTTTATCTTCTGCTTGAAAAATTTCTGAGTCCTTGAAATACATTTCTCAGACTAAGAATGTCTCTCAGGTTACTGTTTTCTTTGATTTTTATTAGCTTTGAGAAAAACCTTATCTGCTTCCTTTTCCTTCTTAGGAAATGTTTTATAGTAACTGGGGAAAATAAAACTTGTTAATTTAAAAAACTTCTATATTCAGGTGATAGGGATTTAAACCATGAAGTCATCATTGATACTTTAGAATGTAAGTTTACATGAGGTGTAACGAAGCAAGTGGGGAAAATTCCAGATTTGCAGATTTCATAACCCTGTATAACTTTAAGAGCTGAAAACAAAAATTAAAAGCCAGACTTTTTGTTGTTGTTTACAAGTTAGGCAGATTTGCTAATAAACACCTTTGGGAAGACATGGTAAAATACTTTCCAATATTTCTTGGTTGGAATCCCTTTCATATTAAAATTTGAAAGCTTGCTATGAACATTTTTTACTTACTTTTCCTTTTCTCCCAGATTGCATTTTGGTAATATATCTTGACTGTAGCCTGTCTCGGTCTTTGCCATTTTTATCAGTTTTGATTTTTCCCTTTTGGATGAGAGCCTTGTCCAGCCAACATGGAGAAGTACATCGTTAGGGACTAAACCTGGCTCCAGGGTTGTTTGCTGAGGTCCTTTTATGTGGAAAGAATGGTTATTACCAGGGAAGGTTTTCCTTTTGTTTTACTTGCCATCCAGATGCTGCTCAGACTCTCGCTCTCGCACAGGATCACAGTATGGATATTCCAGGTCAAGACCAACTGAAGGTAAAATCACCACACGGTGAATTCTTTTGTTGTACAGAGTGGCCCCTTCTCTGTACCTATGGATCTTGGACTCCCAAGACCTTTCCCTGAACGTGGTAAGAATTTAATAAGAAAGGTTCTTGGGAGTTCACAGACCAGGGACAGAGTGAACCTTCTCTGTTCTGCCCATAACAGAGTTCCAATCTCTGAATCTTTCTTTGGGATGTAGCACTTCTGATCTTCAGTTCCTCCAGTTGCATTTTCTTTGGGGTTTGTGTGTGCCCGTGTGTGTGATGGTGTATGTACGTCGGTGTTTGAGAAAACTGCTTTATTTGATTTTAACAGGCTTGTTGCAGTTAAGTTCATGTCAGGCTGTTCTTACAGCTTCCCCAGACCTGGGAGAACTTTATGATCATCTTGGTATATATATACTGAGGGTTTCACATGTTTTCTGAACTATGCCTGATTTTGTAGTCTAGAGGCTTTATAGCGATAGCCTGTTTTTAACAATAGGTTTTGGCCTTTTGCGCAGAGATTTCCCCCCCCCAGGTTTGGGGTTCTCCTAGTTCTGCTCACAGTGGGTTGAGGAGAAGTGTTGCCTTTATTTGATGACTGTTGTGAACTCCAGAGATCTCTCTCTTGTGCGTAACCCATTGTGCCGCACACTAACTGGTGAGCCAGAATGGAACTGCTACATCCCTTGGTCTCAGTCATTTTTGCTGCACTAATACACATCTTTCCCTTTTTTCCAGCAAAGTTCAGAAGAAAGTTCCAGTTCCAGGAAAAGAACGGAAGAAGGGAATATTCCTACACCACCTACCTCACAACATAAATGCAGAAATTCTAGAGAAGGTAAGTTTCGGGTTAAGGCTATACACACTTCTTTTTTTCTTTCTTTTGTTGATGACTTTTAGAAATGGCATTTATTCATATTAAGCACTGGCTGTAATTGAGACCATTATATAAACAACTCAAAAAATAATGTTCTTTCTTTGCATATGAAGTAGGAGGGGCTTATGTCATACTTCTCATTATTTTCTGAAAACTTTTTCTTTACCCCAGTGACCATTAACTTTGAAGATAATGATAGTGCTCTTTTAGCAACCCGTGAACTGTGCCGGAGCAGTCTATTCCTTTGGTTAGTGTGCTAATAGAAGATAGCTACACATTTATCAGTTTGCCACCTGGCAAATCAGCTGCCTTGGCCTTTTAAATCTTGACACACCTGTATGTATTCAATCTGGCTAGAAATTTTATTTTTATTTGTCTGCTTGAGGCAAAGGCTAATTTTCACAGGATTTTGAAGTTTGCAAAGATGATATATACTTAGTGTGTTAGAGCCGAGACTGAGATACTGAAAGCCTAGTAGGTCCTTTGCCCTTGGATGGTCGTCCTCAGATCTTTGCCATCCATACTGGGTAAGCTATGGTCAAGTTAAAGGAATTAATCGATATTTTGGAAGGTTCCCCCCCACCCATGCCCTGCTTTATAAAACATCTCCTAAAGTTTTTTCTACAAAGGTGTACAAAATCATAAATTACTCGAGAGGTGCTTTATGGTCTGATAGTTACTAGTCCTAGGTACCTGACTCACACTTGGAGCAGTGGCAGGTTAGATCTCTAGCAACCTCTCAAGAGAGTGATGCTGCTGAAATTATTTTAATTGTATAAAACTGAATCAGTTTATCATGCAGCTGAATTTTAGGCTACCTATTTACCTTGGAGCTTATTCTGTTCTGAATGGTATTAAATGGGTATTTTTTTCTGTAATTGCAGGTCCTTGCTTACTTGCTACTCAGAAGCTATTTGAAATATAAGAATAGCCAATTCAAGAGATTATATGTAGCTTGTGACGTAAACTTTGAGAATAAATAGCTTAGTGTCTTCAGGAGAGTGTGTAGGTAGAAAGGACACACTTTTTATATATGGAAAGTATATTTCTGTTCTCTTTACAAGAAGGTAGAGAGCTTGGATAGATGAGAATAACATTAATTTGGTGCCATCTCAGGAATTTGAGTTTCAATAATTCTAGGAATGAGTAAGTAAAAGGCTGACCTTTCCCTTGAACTTAATGGACAGGGATCAATATGATTTGTAAGTAGGTAGGTAACATTTTGTTCTGACAGCGATCTATTTATTACAGAAGTTGCCAGGCACGTGTACCTCAGCACATTTAAACACTTCTAGTTGCCATTGGTGTGCCTAGTGCCTTGGAAAGAGGTAGAGGAGAGTGAGAAAGTAGGAAAAGAGGGAAGTACAACAAAAAAAAAGATTGGATAATGGGAAAGAAAAGAAGGTGTTGAGCTGGCAGTGGACTTAACGTTAGTAACCACCTTGAATATCATTTGGATGTACAACATGAGATCTTTTACTTGGCATATGTGGGGCCTTCTTAGGTTTTGTGTTTGTAGTATTCTTGATTTTATTTTTTTTATTTATTAAAAAAATTTTTTTTAAATGTTTTTATTTATTTCTGAGAGAGAGAGACAGCGTAGGCAGGGGAGGGCCAGAGAGAGAGGGAGACACAGAAGCTGTGAGATCATGACCTGAGCCGAAGTTGGACGCCCAACCAACTGAGCCACCCAGGCGCCCCAGTATTCTCGATTTTAGATATTTCCAGAAGAGCCCATTGATTTGGAAGGACAAAGGTGTATCTTTACTCGGATAACCTAGAGTTCAGCATTTTATGATGGTTGTTACCTGTCAAAACTGCCTTCATCTCACCACCATTTGCAGTTCAATGAATTGAGCCATTTTCAGGCATCATGTACTAGAGAGAGTCATTCTTTAGTTATTGCTGTGGTAAGAATGTTTAACATGCAAATAAATGACAATTTTGAAGGAGGACTGTCATTGTTTGGATGCTTTCAGAGTTTATATTTCTGTCTTATAAAGAGATTGTAAGTGTTACAAAGCGAGTTTTGATTCTTAGTGTTGTGTACATATTTACCATTCTTTCCATTTGACTGTAGGTGAAGACTTCGTAAAAAACTTAGCCCAAGGTGAGACCTCTAAGCTGGACCTTGGGTTTGAGGAGTGGGATATAGCCGGGCTGCCTTGGTGGTTTTTAGGAAACCTGAGGAACAACTATACACCTAGAAGTAATGGCTCGACTGATTTACAGACAAATCAGGTAAACGTCACCTTTGAAGAGGAACTTTTTGTTTTCTTTCTGAAAGAGTAATGTTCTTGGTTACTCTTGACCACACATTGCGTTCTGTAAGAATTCTCATCCAGTGCTACGACTTTAAGCACCATCCGTGTCTGTCTGATGCTCAAATCTGTATCTGTAGCCCCGACCTCTTCTCTAAATGCCCACTGTCTATATTCAGCTACCTATTCAACATCTTCGCTTGGATGATCTGACATTTAACATGTTCAAAAACCAGAGCTCTTGATTTTTCTTTTAATTTCTACTTTCCCCCCAAATATCCCTATTCAGCCTTTCCTTTTTCGCAAGTCTACCTTCTATCGAGTTATTCTAGCCAAATCTAAAGCGATACCATTGGTATCTTTCTCTGTCATATTCCACATTCATGTTATCAGCTCTTTATCTGAAACGTATCCAAAATCTAACCCCTTTTATTCCTTCGGTGTCGTGCCCTAATGCAAGCTATAATTACTCTATTCCTTTATCTTACTTTATATTCTCCATTGCACTTCTCACTTTGAAAAACTGTTATTCTGTTTTGTTTATGTGTCTCTTCTCTGTTTACCCTTACTGAAATCTAAGTCCAGGGCTTTGAGTCATTCACCACTCTATTCTGTTACCTAGTAGCTAGAACAGTATCTTACATGTAAAAGGCGTTCAGTGAGTATTTACTGAGTAAATGAATGGGTATATTATGGTGGCAAAATAATAAGTTTCTCTTAGGAATATTGTAGAAAAGCATGTCATAAAATATCCATAGATGAATGCAGAAAAAAAGTTATATTCAAAGTTGTTTAGAAGATTTGAGTTACTATCAATATTCCTCATATTTAAGTAAACATTGACCATCCAGGAAATAATGTATCACAGTTAATGGAATGTCTTCTAGGTTCTCAGAATGCCACCTTTGGAAAGAAATCGAGGGAATGGATTCTGTTTGGTTGAGCAGCTATGCGTCTTTAGCTTTTAAGCTCCTCAGTACCATTTCTCAGGCCATTTCTCAAGTTATATTTGAGTTACTGTTGAAGTAGAAAATTCTTTGCCAGGCTCCTTTATATCCATTTATGAGTTTATACATAGTAGATGCCAAGTAGATACCTTAAATGAATAGATGTCCATTGAAGAAAGGCAAGGTGTTCTTTGGAGATGTGTAAGGACATTGAGTTTGGGGTTCATTTTTATTGGTTCAACATCACTGATAGGCCTCTGACTATAAAGCTTTCTCTCTACTAGGATATAGGTACTGCCATTGTATCAGACACCACAGATGATTTGTGGTTTTTGAATGAGTCTGTATCAGAGCAGTTTGGTGTGGGAATCAAGGTTGAAGCTGCAGATTCTGAACAAACCAGTGAAGAAGTAGGGAAAGTAAGAGACAAAAAGGTATGTTTGGAAACATTTCGCCTTGTTTGTTTCTGTGTGCACATAGCATAACTGTTCAGATCTGGTGTCCTGACCCTTTTATATAACAGATAACTCGCATAATCCTGCCCTCCCCCCCCCTGCTTTAATTTCTCTTTTTATTTATTTATTTATTTATTTTTATTTTTATTTTTTTTTTAAATGTTTTATTTATTTCTAGGAGAGAGAGAGAGACAGCATGAGCAGGGGAGGGTCAGAGAGAAAGGGAGTCACAGACTGAAACAGGCTCCAGGCTCTGAGCTGGCAGTCAGCACAGAGCCCGACGCGGGGCTTGAACCCACGAACCGCGAGATCATGACCTAAGCGAGAGTCGGACGCTTAACCGACTAAGCCACCCAGGCGCCCCTAATTTCTCTATTTAAAGTTGATTTATTTTGAGAGAGAGAGAGCATGAGGGAGGGGGAGAAAGAGAACCCTAAGTAGGCTTCTGTGCTGTCAGCATAGAGCTTGATGCAGGGCTCGATTCTATGAACTATGAGATCATGACCTGAGCCGAGATCAAGAGGCCAATGCTTAACTGACTGAGCTTTTTACTCATTACTTTTTAATGTTCTCCTATATCCAGTTTTAAGATTCACATTAAGTGAACCAAGGCTGTCTTAAAAATAGGATAGGACTGCGTGGGTGAAACTCCTCCTTTAGAAGCAGTAAGCCACCCTTTCCTACTTGTCTAATTTCCCACTATGGAGTTTTTTTTCTTCTGGAGACCTTTCTTTGCTAACAAGGCAAAGTTCTAAATGGCCACAGCAGCCTGTAGGGAAAGAAATTCTTATATCTGAGACACCTCAGTGTCTTTCATAACCCTTTATATCTAAATGGAAATAGAGGAGTTCTTCCTATGTATTTTAGATTTTAAATAAGGGGAAAGAAGAGAGAACTCCAAATACACATGGTGTGAACACACCGAGATGAAACATGTGCTCAAATCTCAAAAGAAATTGGACAGCAGATCTAGTGTCCGACATTGACAAGATTCTCAGTAAATATCGCTTGAATAAATGCAGCAAAACACAACCTAAATAGGGTCATTTTTTAAATTTAATAGATTTTCGTAGTAATTTGGGTTCCTGAAGGATATCCTGGTATGTTTATAGGCTGATAGATACTTGGGTCCTGCTAGCCTAGTTGTATATGGGGAGCATTAGAAGGGACCACGAGTGGCTTGAAGGAAGACAGAGGGGACATTTGGAAAGAGAGATGGAACTTAGGATACTTGAACTTGCATGAGAAAGTTGCTATATTGAGGTCCCTAATTGAATCATAATTGGTTTTATTCCATTTACTAGATCACAGAATAGGGTGTTCGTTTTTAGGATTTTAAATTCCAAATTTTGAAATTTAGAATATACTTCCCACATTTCTTGACTTTCTGTTTCATGGTCCATGGGCATGTTTTTTATAGGGCAACCAGAGTATCACTTAACTAGGTCTGCTTTTGAATATGAAAAGTAAAACTTTGAAATACTTTGGTTTTGTTCTTGACATCTCAGTTCCTTATTTTATATAGTGCTTTTCAGTTCCATTTTCTCGTGTAATCCTGAATGCCTGCCTAGATTCCCAACATAAAAAATATTCACATTTAATGGTTTGTAGCTTTTCTGCTCAGATATTGTTTATTTTCATTAAAGACATACGTTTGGGCACCCTCTTCTATTTGATGACCTTTCTGGGTACTTTTCAGTCATTTTTTCTACTAGAGTTCTGACTGCATACGTCTGGAATGATTTAAGCTATTTCTAAGTATTAATGATGGAGGTAGAATGTAGCTTTAAATTGAAACTCTTCTGTCTTTTTTGCTGTCAGATTATAGCCTCCTCTAAACTAGGTAAACCTCACTAATGAGATGTCTTTGCCCTCATAGGTGATTGAAGTGGGAAAAAATGATGACCTAGAGGACTCCAAGTCCATAAGTGATGACACAGATGTAGAAGTTACTGCTGAGGTAGGAATGTCTAGTAAACATGTGGCTCTGCAACCCCTGCGGCTTCCAGTGTGTAGTTCCAGCAGCACTTGTGTTGTAGTTCCCCCATTTCTGGCTCCCTTTTCTTGGCATTAAGACATGTTGGCTGCTTTATATTTTGTTAGAGGTTTGGAGTTTGGAGAAAGAAATGCCTGTCTGTATACCTTTCTCCCTGCTAACAAAATGCTTTGGACCTAATGCAGTGGACATACAGAGTTAGTTATTCAAAAGAGTCCTGTACTACCTTCCCCACTAAACACCTCTCTGTAATCCTAAAGATAGACATGTAAGCTATCTAAAATACTTTATCAGTATAAAGGTCATATTTTCAGTGCTTCTCAAAAACAGACAAATGGAAAATGGTTTAATTTCCACACAGATTTATATTAATGGAGGACTAGTAAATGAAAATGTAGTATTAAGCCATAAAGGTAATAGGTATGGATTTGTCACCAAATGACAACTCAGGTTTAGACTTAAATGTGTACCTTTTCTCTTTTCATGCTAATTCCATCTTTCTTTCAGTCCTTTCCTCGGCTAACTCACTGTGGGAAGAAGGGTGGTGGGGGAAGACCGGGGAGGAGAGTTTACAGTTTGCTCTTTGCGGATAGAAAAGTTGTATGTTGTCTCTGGTTGATCCTTCCCAACTCCCAGCCTGCCACTGTTGCCCATTATGGTAATTCATTGCAAATTATCTGTCTGTGTATAGCTGAGTAATAAAGTGGAATATATTGGTCCATTAAGGGTTCTTGACCATAATACAAATAGCAGAGATAAGTATCTCCATCTTAATCAGACTTCTGTGGCTACTTGGGCCCAGAAAACCTATTAAGCAAATAGACTGTATTTTATCAAATTAAAGACGCCATTGAATTTAATAAGCCCTATTATTTTATGTACTACTAAAAAAGAAACAGTGATGTCAATTAGACTGTGACACACCATCAGTTATGAATTCCAAATCTTTGCGAAGCCCCTCTGAGTATCTGTGTAGCATTTCAAATGAGATCTGAGGATCTTGAGCTGGCACGAATGTTGTGAGTCTCTCTGAAGACCACCCAGTTTAACAAATGGTCGTGTCCCTGCCTTTTGGCCCATGAAATTGAGTTACAATGTCTAAACTTGAAGTGTGTGGCCTTTGTTCTGGAAGTAATCAAGTCCGCCTGTGTCCAGTCATTGATCCTGTCAGAGCCAGGCAGTTAGCCACATTAAACCCTCTAGACCTGTTCCGGGTAGCTCCCTTTGCATTACGCAAGGCAAAATTCATTGAGCTCTCGTGTCTCCTGATTTGGACACGGAGAGGTTTACGAGCATCCGAGCACAAGAACGTTCAGTTTTCAGAGGTAGGGTTTAGGCGTACATTTAGCTAATCCTGAGAGCAGTGAGAGACCAGGAGTAAATTTAGTAGTTTTCAAATTTCATTTAATTTTAGCTTCCTTTTTGCCAAAATTTCTATTTCTTAATTAGTAGGAAAGAATGAAAGTGTTCTCTTTTGTTCATTCTTTAGCCTCTTGCCCAATAAGAGAGTAAGTTGTACAAAGAAGTGAACTTAAAAAGAAGGAGCAGGGAAAAGCAAGCAATGAAAATTCCATCCGGATGAGATAGAATGCCATAATAATGAATTTAACTTTCTTAAAGATAGCTGTATCAAATCTTGACTTGAAAATGGTGGTCATGTCACTATCATTGTAAACCTGCTCAAGACTACACGTGGCTGTGGAATTTGTTCATATGCGAGGCCAGATCACTGATGGGGAACGTCCGGATTCTCACTGGCCTAGTGAGACGATGAGCTGGGGCCTACCCTCCCTTTTTCTCAACTTCATGTTTGCCACAGAGTGAATGTTAACTGGCTGCACTTGTCTTTGTAGGATGAGTGGCAGTGTACCGAGTGCAAGAAATTTAACTCTCCAAGCAAGAGGTACTGTTTCCGTTGCTGGGCCTTGAGGAAGGATTGGTATTCGGATTGTTCTAAGTTAACCCATTCTCTCTCCACATCTGATATCACTGCCATACCTGAAAAGAAGGAAAATGAAGGAATTGATGTCCCTGATTGCCGAAGAACCATATCAGCTCCAGTTGTTAGACCTAAAGATGGGTACACAAAGGAGGAAAACCCTAAACTTTTTGATCCTTGCAACTCCGTGGAATTCTTGGATTTGGCCCACAGTTCGGAAAGCCAGGAAACTATATCAAGCATGGGAGAACAATCAGATAACCTTTTTGAACAGAGAGCAGATACAGAAAACATGGAGGACTGCCAGAATCTCTTGAAGCCGTGTAGTCTGTGTGAGAAGAGACCACGAGATGGAAACATTATTCATGGGAGGACAGGCCATCTTGTCACTTGTTTTCACTGTGCCAGAAGATTGAAGAAGGCTGGGGCTTCATGCCCTATTTGCAAGAAAGAGATTCAGTTGGTTATTAAGGTTTTTATAGCGTAGCTGACTCCGTGAACTGCAGAAAATATTAACAGGGCTGAGTCGTGTTTCAAAATGTCAGTATTGAGCATCTCTACTCTGTGTAACTCAAAACATCTATTTATTTATTTAGGTAGACATCTGTGTTCTCCAACAGTTTGTTTCTAAACTTATAAGGAATTTGAGAATTGAGTTCCTTAGAACTAGATTGCCAGTTGGGGATGCCATTAACATGAAAAGATAGGTTAACCACTGACTTCATTCTCTTTTTAAAGATGAGGATCTGGGAGAAAGCAACTGCCAGTACTAACAAAAAATACATTAATTCGCTCACTTATCAAATTATTTGAAGATTTACTATTTCTTTAGTTAATTTTATTTCCTGTTCTTTTTTTCTGTTAGGGAATGTTATTAGTCATTAAGATCCAAGGTGACTATTAGAAAAATATTAAAGCTAACAATGAAAAAAAATAATAAATTTGAATAGTCAAGTTATGTAATGCTATGCGTTGTTGCAGTCAGGCTGCACGATTCAGATAAGCTACAAGAAAAGTCTTGAAAAACAAGCACTTTTTTCATGTGTGTCTAGAACAATAGTATTGAGCATTTTTGCTAACACAGTCCGGAAAGAATTTTTGAAAAAGTGTATATAACCATTTGTACATTTTACACCACGAGGTAGCAGACAGAGTGTTCCCTTCGTGAGTTGTAGACATCCGAGTAGCCATCCTTAAACAAGCAACAGAATGTTTCTGTCTGCTTAGAAAGTTCCCTTGTTCCTCTTTTTAAGCAGTTCTCTCTCCATTTCCTGGCTCTCATTCTAGGTTAGCTGACCATTTGCACATGTTTAATGTAACATATAAATTTTAAAAATACCTTTAAGTACTTAGAAAGGATACCCTAGCCACTATATTGTATATGTGCCTTAATATTTTTCTCAAAGCCTTGAAGCTATAGATTTAGTTGATTAAATTCTGGAAAAAGTCTTGTCATATAAAGTAGCAAAGCTGTTCTCATTGTAAAATTCATCAGCCATATCAGATTTCACTTTCAGTCAGAAAATGTTTGACTTTATTTTTGAAAATAAATGCATGAGCACATTTCTGGCCCAAACAAATTACAATTCTAAGGTAGATAAGGCACAGAATTTTTAACCTAAGCTCCCTTTTGCTTTACTCTGTCCTCATTATCTTCTGAGAATCCTCTGGAGGTTTTTTGTTGTTCTTTTATTTGATGCCCCTAGATGTTTTTTGCATTCTGAGGCAATGCCCCATAGTAAGAGTCTAGTTGGGTGAGAGGCAGGCTTTCTTTTGGAAATAGGGAGTATGGTAGTTGTGAAAAGGATAGTAAAGAAAAATGATAGATCTGAAGAAGCACATTAATCTTAGGACAGTACAAATGGAAACTGAAGGTCTTTAAGCTCATGTCCTTAATACCTATCCCTATACCTTTTTCATGGAAAAATCTTAGTATGCCCAGGGGTATGCATATGAGATTTTGGAGACCAGGGCCCTAGGATTTTTTTTAACATTTATTTATTTTTGAGAGACAGAGACCGAGCAGGGGGAGGGGCAGGGAGAGAGAGGGAGACACAGAATCCGAAGCAGGCTCCAGGCTCTGAGCTGTCAGCACAGAGCCTGACACAGGGCTCAGACCCATGGACCATGAAATCATGACCTGAGCTGAAGTTGGACGCTTAACCAACTGAGCCACCTAGGCTCCCTGACCAGGGCCCTAGAATTAACAAATTTACTGATCTAAAAAATCACCTGGGTTGCTTGTTAAAACAGCCCAAGTTTAAAAAAAAAAAAAACAAAAAACAAACTCCCCTCCTTCCCCCCCTGCTCTGGGGTTTCCATTTGAACATGTGTTCCTGGAAGCTGATTCAAATGGTCCACAGACCACACTTTGGGAAGCCCTACCCTAGAAGGAAGGGCTTTTCCAGTTATAAGAAGTAGAATGAACAAGATCACTTTTAGCAGCATATTTAATTTTCTGAGGGGGAGTTTTATTAACAGTTCTAGAATTTTAAAACTAGAAGGCACTCATATACTCAGCCCCTGTTATTTTGCACTTGAGGCTAAATTTAAGGTTAAATGACTGTCGAAAGTCACAGCTAGTGATGCATCTAGAATCTAAGGGACTTGTAGTAAATCTTGAAACCATACTCACTTCCTTCTCATTATTTGTTAAATATTTAAAGTGTGCAGCTTGTCAAATTTGGAATAGCTTATCATCTTAAAATATTGCAGAATATGACTCGTAGCCAAAATAGGACTTTAGAGAGAATAACAACTTTTAACACTTTCTCCTCAAAGAGAAAAGGCCCTGTAAATGTCAGGCTTTCTTATATAAACATAATAACTTACTCCTCCCACAGGGAGGACAGATAAAGGTGCAGAAGAGCCTGACCCATCTTCTCCAGTATTGTTCCTTCTTGGGGAAGGAAGTTCAAGTCCCTGGCTATCTCTAGGCATCAGGGACAAGGGTTTTCCTTCTAGAAGCAGAAGGAGTCCTTTGAGCTCAAGTGTTTTGTTAAACCATGGTAAATGCTTCACCATTTATGCGATTTAAATGACTTTTTCCCCTATTTTCTCCCAAGTACTACTGTCTTCATAATCATTTGATAGCCCTCAGTTTTATTTGATTTTTGCCAGTTAAGGGCTTTCATGGATGGTAACTTAAAGGAGGGGCAGGGAGAGTTAGGGATCTGCACTTGTAGCCTCTGATTTCTCTTATTGCAGGGTTTTTGTTTTTTTTAGAAAACTTCAGAAAGAATTGAAAAATTTTGTGTTTGTAAACATTTGATGCTAATTTTGGTACATCCTTGCCTAGCACAGGATTCTCTTACGCTACTCAGCTTTCCTTCTCCCCCTTGCTCAATTGGGTTTTTTATTGTCTCTGTTACCACTAACTACTTTGCTTAAAAGATCCCAAGCTGCGTGTTTGAGCTGCGAGTGGTATGACAACCTAGACTTGGGTCCCCTGCACCTCTGGCAGGAGTCCCATGACAGACTGCAGCTGTTACAGGGAAGCCAGCATGTCTGCAGGAGGAGGCAGCTGGCATCTCTTGGTAGCTTATCGGAAATTCGGGAAGCCGCTTCCTCTGCAGGGTGTTTCCGTCATCCCGGACCCCTGTCCTGTGCAGTCACCCCTGGAGAGTAGGATAGCAAGTAGGCCTCGTCATTTCTTGGGGGTAGAATAGGTGAAGGGCCCTACAAAGGACTACACAGTGCTATCAGAGCAGTTCATTACCTGCAAGAAACTTTAAACCTTGATTTGTTTTTGGTTTCGTCTCTTTTTTTTTTTTTTTTTTTTAATGCTACTGCGGTACAGATACATTTTACTCACTGCCATTAAAGCAGGACATTGTATGTCAAGTCTTCATAGTTTTACGTCTATCAGGTAAACTCCTCTAATTTCCAAACACTACTGTTTATCTTTTAGATTTATTTAGGGTGGACAGTGTGCTCTGGTGTTCCAGAACCAGGGCCAGTTTCCCTCTCTTTTACAACAGCCTGTCTGATTTGTCTCCTTTTCTCCCCTTTCACTCCCAGATGCTTGAGTGGAAATCTTGATTCTGAGGAGGGATCTCTTAGAGCAGGGGCCAGTGAAGTTTACTCTTCTGCTGCATCGTGCCATAGATTTGTGAGCAATGAAATCATCCCACATCAGCACCGACTTTCTTTCTTTCTTTTTTGTTTTTAAAGTAATCTCTATGCCCATCGTGGGGCTTGAACTTATGACCAAGATCAAGTTGCATGCTCTACTGACTGAGCCCAGCCAGCTGTCCCAGCACCAAATTTCTTTTTTTAATTACCATTTAAATGGTTTTTTTTTCTTTTTTTATTTATTTCTGAGAGAGAGAGAGTGAGCAGAGGAGGGTCAGAGAGAGAAGGAGGTACAGAATCTGAAACAGGCTCCAGGCTCTGAGCTAGCTGTCAGCACAGAGTGCAACATGGGGCTCGAACCCACGAACCCTGAGATCATGATCTGAGCCGAAGTCGGACGCTTAACCGACTGAGCCACCCAGGCGCCCCTTTAATCACCATTAATATTTATGATCAGGTTATCCTGGACAGAAAATTCAGAGCAAAAATGACAAATCCTTAGAAACAAATTTTTTTTAATGTGTGGTGTTTTTGTTTTTGTTTTTGTTTTTTTTTAATTTCTGACAGAGATAGAGACAGCGTGAGCAGAGGAGGATCAGAGAGAGAGGGAGACACAGAATCCGAAACAGGCTCCAGGCTCTGAGCTAGTTGTCAGCACAGAGCCCGACATGGGGTTTGAACCCACGTACTGTGAGATCATGACTTGCGCTGAAGTCGGATACTTTACCGACTGAGTCACAAACGTGCCCCAGAAACAATGAATTTTTAGGTTACAGCTAAAAATGCCTCCTGTCTCATTAACTCTCCGTACTTGCATTATACTTATGATACTTGTGCTTTTGTATTAAATACTTAAACCAGACTTTATAAAAATCTTAAGGCCAACACATAGTGCTATTTTTTTCACAGTCCATCTATGGAATATCATAGGTTCACAATCCTAGGCTTGAGCAGTGATAAGCATCTAGCCAAGCCAGCCTACAAACTGCCATGAACTCTTCTAATCTAAGATGGGATCACTGCCAAGCATTCGACATATGTAGTTGTGTTTTAATAATAATTTATGTATATTTAGATGTATATAATGCTTTGTGGGACATAATTTCATTTGTAAGAATTTATTTTTAATGGTTAGAATCATTTGTCACCTTTTTTTTTTTTTTGAAATGTCAACTCAATGTAATACTGGCTCCTTTGAAAAGTCATTAATGAGAAATGGGTGAATGCTAGAACTTGGGTTCTCCAGAAGTATTGTGTTATCTCTCAGTTCTCTTTAAAAAGGAGGAAACTTGTTAACCGGTTATTTGGGTTTTTCCCCCCACAGAGAATTATGTGAGCTTCTGAACTATATGCCTTTAGATACTGTGAATCTGTTGTTTTCCTTTTAGCCAAGTATCTGCTTAAATTGTTGATCAGAGTCCTAAAGAAGAATTTATTTTGATGATTATCTTCACTCATAGGTGTATGTATATGTGTATGTACATAGACTGCTATCAGGACTGCTAATGCCTTTGCTGAAAATGGCTATAAAATAGGAACTAGCTGTGTTTAGGATCTGCACTTCAGAGATAAAGAACCTGTAAGCTCTCCCCTGTGCCAAAAGCAAAATGTGCAATGTTTACAAATGTTTGGAAGTTTGCACTGCCGTAGGGTATGCTGAGGTTACTTTGCTGGAATTTCCCAGAAGGTGATTAATGCAGTTGCAGTTTAGCGTCTGAGGAGAGATACTGAGGATCTAAAGCTGAACTGAGGTAGTGGTTCAAGTGACTCCCTGGCCTAATTTGGGGACAGTTTTTCCAGACTGCTTTGAGACATCCTTTCTGTTGGACGGAGCTTTCCTTGGTCACCATTGCCACATTTTTCCTTTGTAGGAGCTACCAGGTCTTGTCTGGTATGGGAGATTGTCCCCTAAGCTTTTTGAGATCTTTTGATAGAATTAACGTGTAATCCCAGCGGTGCGTGCGGCCTTGTTAAATAGAACCTTAAGAAACACTTGGGTTTACTGTACCTCTGTCAGCCCTTTTTTTTTTTTTTTTTAACATTTATTTATTTTTGAGAGACAAAGATCATGAGCAGGGGAGGGTCAGAGAGAGAGGAAGACACAGAATCCGAAGCAGGCTCCAGCCTCTGAGCTAGCTGTCAACACAGAGCTCGACGCAGGGCTCAAACCCAAAAACTGTGAGATCATGACCTGAGCCGAAGTCGGACACTCAACTGACTGAGCCACCCAGGCGCCCCCCTCTATCAGCGTTTTGAATGACTGAAAATGTTACAGAGAACTGTGTCTGCAGAAAGAAGTAGCTGGTATTTCTTGGTAGCTTCTCTGAAATCCAAGATTGTGCTTCTCCTGCAGATTGTTTTCCTTTAGCTAGGATCCTTCTATAAACCTTCTGGGAGCATAGCACAGCAAGTAAGAGCCCTCATATCTTGGGGTAGAACGGGCCAAGGATCTTAAAAAGGGTCAAGTAGTGCTGTCAGAGTAATTCCTGTCTCAGAATAGTTGCTCTAATTTGGCAGATGCTTTCTTGAAAGTTGACATTATCACTAGAACACTGACAGTTAATGAGAACACGTAACGTCTTATCATAAGGCTTTTTCCCTTTTTTTTTTTTTTTTTTTAAATAGTAGCTGCCTTGATGTCCTACTTTTCCCCTTCCTTCGTCCCTTACTGTTGCTCTTTTTTCCTCAGAGTTCAAAGAGATCTACTTCCGGATATTGCTTTTACACCAGAAGGCTTGTGTGTCACCCCCTGGGTAGTTGGAACTACAGTGTCTTTAGGTCAGATTCCTATTTTCCAGTCAGTCTGAGGGAGTGTTTCTGTCGGAGAGTCAGGAGCTGGGTTCCAGAAGGAAGGAGGGGGAGCTGTGACATCAGTGCTACTGTGTAATGAAAAACAACTTGTAGTGAGGCTTCCTTCATATACCTGAGGGGAGAACAGCGAGG